CCCCCCCCCCCCCCCCCCCCACTGGCGAATGTATTACAATAATCATTTTAGGATGTGATTCCAAATTGTAATTAAAAGCTGAAAAACAATTGGGAGAATCAATAGAGAAAGCAAAATTAAGCTAATGGATGTGCATACCTTTTTTCCGGCCAACGTATGAATTGTGTCACTGTGCAAAACGCCAAAATTGGATCTCAAAGGAAGGAATTTGATATATCTACTCCATAATAAACAACTTACGAACTTAACAAAATCATAAAATTGGTGTTACAAATACACTCCGTAATAGTATTGTGAAACTGGTATGGTGAAATATAATAAAATTTTAGTGAGCTAACATGTCATGGAAGATTGCTCATAAGTAGCCAAGCTAGGTTCAAGATTTCAGCTTTATTTCAACTCCCAAGATCTCTGCAAAAGACATAAGAATATCAATTCTATCAAAAAACTAATTCTAGAGCATGAATAATTGAATATTACCAAAACCTAATTTTAGACCAAGGTTTGACTTGTGATGATTGTAACGCTATAAATGTAGTATTTTGGCCTATAATTGGTTGGGTATACTTTGCAGTTTGCACTGTCACCATGAGGTTAGCGAGCCTTAATGGACTGTATTCAGGTGTGGCTTCAAAAATAGTCATTTGTGTTGAATAATACAACGGGAAAAATAAAAATAAGATGATCCGAACTTATAAAACGTTCGGATTTACAACGAAAATAAAACAAGAAAAATGGGGTTCTTCGGGAGCTCGAACGGATGCAAGAACACGAACGGACTCTGCGTCGGATGAAAACAGCGGGTCACCGGAGATGTTTCTGGAAGCGTAGGTAAGGAAAGCGGAGTCACCGGAGCTTTCCTTAAGGTAGTATTGCCCGCCTCCCGCACTGGCAAACGTGGGCAATCTCCTCCCAGGATAAAACCGCAGCGTGCTAGGTCTAGAGCGGTAGAACAAAGCACCGGCGAACGAGAACGACGGAAGTTATAGCCGAAGAAGATGATCGGAAATCGGAGATAGTCGGAAAGCTTATATAACGCAGGGAGAGAGATTTTTTCGAGTGTGTTCTCCTCCTGCAGCCAAGCCCTCCTTTTATAGGAGGGAAGTTGGCTCTTCGCTTGGACCTATCGAAGATTACGAGGCGTCGCTGGCACCCTCTTCGCCTCCCTTGTGCATGCATGCTTCTTGGACGGCACTTCGTTAATCACGAAGTGTCCATGCGTGTTCAATTCGGTCTCGTAAAACGTTAGCCCCGCGGCGCCGCGACGCGCGTCGCGCGTGTCGTGTCGAGCCAGACGGACGGCGACGGCGGCGGCACGCGAGGAGTCCTCTTCTTGTTCCTTTCATAAGCTCAATTAAAAGCCTAAGCTTAAATATGAGAATATGAAAGGTTCAAAAACCGGTGTGGGACAAGGGTATTTACTCTACCCTCGTATTCAACTTTGAGAATTAATTTCTCATTCACCCGAGCACCGTTTGTGGCGTGTCATATGTCATGACGTTCGTCTTACTTACGAGATTGAACGTCCATAATTATTTCGGAAAATAATTTTGTGGACCCTACCGAATTTATGTCCGAAAATTGTCCAATTTATCAAATATTTCCAACAATTTGAAATAATGAGCACCAAAAACAGCAATCGTTCATGCTAGTGTGAAATGGATGTGAAAACTACTAAAAGTGGCCATGAGGCTCATGGTGAGAGCGCAATCACATTTTACCCAGTAAGAGTGTAATAACATAAAGTTCACAATATAATGAATGAAACTCACCGGCTTCTATATTTAGTTCCACAGCCACTTGGCATTCCCTCCAAGTGAAGCAATGACTTGCTTTCATGTCTCCTTGAGATTTTGACCTCTTTTCTTCAGTTTCTTGCTGGCTTTCTGAGAGACGTGAATGCTTGATAGCAGCAAAGTTCTTCATCACGGACTACAGCTTCTTTTGTGTAACGGGAATTGTAATACCTTGGTGTGTCCAAATCTTACACCTTTATTTCCAAACTTTAAGAGCCCAGGATTCCACAACCAAAAAACAACCAAAAAAGGAACCTTAGAGCCTACATATTTAGTAAGGGTAAAATTGACTTTAATGGCTATGATCTCGCATTTATTGTAGTAAAACTCAAGTTGCTAAATTATTAAGCAAAATATATCTTAAAAAGATGGTAGAAATGTGTTTTTCAGCCATCTCAACAAAAAAACCTTCTGCATTACTTTAATTCATTGGAAATTACAATATATTTCTAGATAGTTCAGCTCAATCACTTCGTTGAGTCAACGCAGAAAAGATTTAGGAAACTCTACCTACCAATATATCCAAAAAGCAACCTTATGAGGCATCAACCAGAATAATAGTATATGATCCACCGGTGCAGAAGACCACTCTTCTGGCTACCAATGAAGCTGAAAAATAGTCACCAACTGTGGAATGACCTACTGAAATTGTTACCAAAATATTCTCTCCCGGTGTATTTGTTTGAAGGGCTTGTTTGTATAGAAATATAGAGCCCTACAAAGTTAAAATGTAAACGGTAGTAGTAAGTGTAAAGAACTAATGAGGCCATTAAGAGCAATTAGAAGAAGACGTCAACAAAAAAATGGTATTAACCATATTTCCAAAGGTAAGAAGCATGACACTTGTCATGAGTGAAAATTTGTGCTCAATGATTTAATGATACGATAAGTAATAATAACTGCATTCTTGAGATAGAGGTGTGCAAGGGGAATAAAGTTGTAGAGGTGGTAGCTACAGTGTCACTCAAAAACAAAGATAGTTAGCATGTTCATGTTAATGGCAGTAGATTGCATCCTTGACCCCCTATACCATTAATATATCCAAGTGGGTGAATAATATTATGGTATGTTTGGGAACATGGATTTGGCTCAAATTCCATGTTTGGGAAACTTAAAAATTTTGAATTTGGATTTGAGTCAAATTCCTCTCATTCATAACAAAGCTTAATTTTAAATCCATGCGCCTCTCTTTGTCATTTGAAATTCAAGATTTCAAATTTTGGAATTGAAATACATGAATTAAAATGAAATCTTAGTTGCCAAACACTACCTTAGTACAATTCATAAAAGTAAGGATACTGTTTTTAAGAAGACAACAACAACAACAACCCAGTTGAATTCCACAAGAGTAGGGTCTGGGGAGGGTGTGTGTACGCAGACCTTACCTCTACTCAAAAGAAGAGAGGCTGTTTCCAAAGAGACCCCCGGCTCAACGTCGAATGTTGCATTGCTTTCCTAACCGCTACTTCATTAATTAAAGAAGCGCAGACATTTTAGAGATCCATTTTGATTTACTCCATCACACCCCAAAGCCAAAAAATGGTGAAATTTTGGCCCCATCGGAGATGATGGAAATACTGTTTTTAGGAAGATTAAAAATTATTTCTCACTAAGCCTAAACTGCTACTCGTGCTTTGAAAGATCAAATAAGCCTTTGGAGGTGTTCAAAATTCTCAAATCCTTCAAAGCAAGAAAGAGGCATTTCAATTTTGTTGACAACATTTAGCAAATAGGAATATTATATTTCTAACCTAATAACTCTTCAATGCATTTAACCAATAATGAAATAATCCTCTTGGCATGAAAAATATAAAACAACAATTGATTATTCCAAAAATCACCACAATGAAGTACTCAAGAACACCGGTGCTCATTTTGCATAACAAAAACAATGATTTTTTGTCTAATTTACACATACTTCCCAATTACCTCTAATCTATATTACAGTATAATTCAAAAATGAAATGCAAATTTAACATCAAAGAATATCTAAAATCCATAGCATGTATCCATTCCCATAAAATCAAAGAAATGCATTCGAATAAATGCAGGGCTTAAACATTCCAAAAACACACCCACATGTATATATTATGCACCAAATTAGAAATACTTAATATTATATGACTTTAAAGATGGGACCAAAGTGAAAATTTCTTATCTTGGATACCAGAGCCCACTTTGGATTCCATTTCAAAAACAAATTTAGGCCCCGTTTGGTACACGGAATTCAAACTATGGAATTGGAATTGAGGACTTCAATTCCAATTCTTATTTTTGGTAGCACAAAAATTATGTGGATTTGGAATTAGTAGTGCAAAAAATGAATTGGAATTGGTGAATTCAATTTTATGGAATTGAATCCCATGGAATTTTAATTCCAATTCAATTCCAATTTCATCAATTCCGTGTACCAAACGGACCCTTAGGCTTCTCCTTCTTCGATTTCGCAGGTCCATTCTACACAGTGCCCTCAAAATTACTGCTCAGATCCTATTTATAATATCGGTGCTTTGCCCCAAATATTTCGTATGAAATTCAAAATCACGCACTCAATATAAACACAAATGCTCTAAAGAAATACAAAATAAAACACACAAAAAAAAGAGATTTAATAATGATTACACTTAAATCGGAGGTAATAAACAGACCTAGCGTTACAAAGAAAAGATATTTATGGTCCATGATGTAGTCGCAGACCTCCGACCTCTCACCTGGGAAAACCGGCAGCTCAAAGCAGTTGGAAGTGGGAGAACTTGATGAGCTGAACGTTTCAGGAAGGAAAGCGGTCGAATTGAAAATTACAAATCCAAGGAACACGCTATTCGTTTGCTAGCGTGGCACGAAGTAGAACCAAGTCATCAAAAATTATCCGTGTAAGCTACCTAGTCATTGCCCACGTGTCACCACCACAACCAAAGAACCCTACTTTATATATATAATACTCCGTAGTATTTTACCCGTGCCACGCACGGGATCGAATTTTTTTTGTCGATTCTAAAAATTTTTCAATGCATTTTTTCCAGAATAAAGAAAATATCTCTCTTACATGTTTTGTAATAATATATAAAAAATTGTCAAAGTAGAATATATACCATTTGAGGAATTGAACGTGGATCATCAAAGTTTATTTTAATACTAAATTTTATACAAAAAACTTCAGTATATACAAAATTTTTGTTATAGTTGCAAGTGTTGGGAAAAATATCATAGATTTTGATGATGATGTATTTAGAATGTAATAGGGACTTTAGGTCTCCCCCAATATTCAATGTAATTTTTCTTTTTAGAAATATTGTTAAAACCAAGTTCTTGAGTTTTCCATTAAGGTTGTGATATTTCATTAAGCGTTTTGATGCCTGAAGACTTAATCAAATTCAGTGATATGGAAATTGGATATCTTAATCGGAAAAGCTAGAGACAAGTAAGGATTTCTCAAGCAGATGAAAATCCTCTGTTCCGGAAGACTACATAAGAACCGGATGTCTCGCTACAACCCGCTGAAAGCTAAGTCACCCAAATCGGAAGACTAGCGCGGATCTCTCTCTCACCCGGAAGTCTGAGAATGACTTCTCCGGATTTGTCAGCGAAGAACCGGATGCCTCAAGGAAGACCGGAATTCTCAGAAAACGGACAAGTGAGAAAGGACTTAGATAATTATCTAAGTCTTGAATGAAGAAATTCTACCCGTTAGTAAGGAAAAATCAATCTCTTGATTTTCAACGGCTAGATTGAAGATAATTATGCTGATTCAAGAACAAATGACTCGAAGACAAAGTCTGAATCTCCAAAAATTGAAGAACCTGTCCAGAATTCCTAAACAAGCACTAGAAGACAAACAGAGTAAAGTGCTACAGTCTTGAATTCTTGAACAACGGCTA